CCCCGTGTTTTCTCTCCCCATTGGCAGGACCCCCCCCATCCCCTCTCTGTGGGGCGGCAAATCTGCTCCTGCTCCTGGGAAACGGTGATTTGGTTGTGATGCCAGCTGGAAAACTCTGCTGCAGACAAAAGCAATGAAGCATCGGCAAAATCTGCTACTGCAGAGCCCCGCCACAACCACTGCGGCTACTGAAGTGATTGATATAAGCAAGATTTGGCCTTAAATTTGCGCCTTGCGAGCATAGGATACGGCTGCTGCCTTTGGCTGGCTCACGTGCTGCTCTCAGCAGCGCTCCTGCAAGAGTGGAGCAACCGGACGGGATGTGCTGAGCCAGGGATGCTCTGGGATGAAGCAGCAAAACGCAGCGTCGCCAGCTGATGGCCAGTCCTGCGTTCAAAGTGGCCACCTACCGCACATCCGCATGGCCGTGCCTCCGGGCTCGCCGAGCCTCGCGTGCAAGGCACAGCTTCCATCAGCATCCACCTCGCTCCGCTGCCTTTGTTCGCTCCACATAGTTTGGAAACACGGCGGCAGCCCGCAGCGGAGCAACAGGGGTGGCTGGCGACGAGGCTAATGATGAGCCCTTAGTGCAGCTCCGTGCAAATCCTTCTTTGATACTGGATGCAGTTGATTCCTCAAAGATGCTCGGGGACAAATAAATGGTTTGCTCTGAGCCACGGGGCCTGGAAGTGACACCGGAGGTCTGTGGAAAATGATGGGAGGGCGCGTGCAAAGCCCTGGGGTGATGCCAGCCAGGTCCCCCCTTTTTGCTGGGATAACTCCCTTTTTCCAACCGCTTCCCCCTTGCAGAGCGACCAGCCGCTGCGCATACCGGGATGCCGGTCCTGACCAGCACCAGCACTGACCTGCAGCGGCCGCTGGCTCAGCTGTCCTCGTCACCCCTCCTCCTGCTGCCGAAAAATGGGGAATTTTCTTGTGCAGAGGAGTTTGCTTTTTCCCCCCAACGTTTGGGACTCTGCGAATCTGAGCGCTAGTGTCAGTCCCTCAGCAATGGGAGTGGGACGGGTGGCCTTGGTGGCTTCTTGCGCTGTTTCGTCGTCCCCGAATAACGATATGACAGAGTGTTGGTTTGCGTCCCCGTGGGTACCCGCGGATCCGTGGTCAGCTGCGGATCTCACACGTGAGCTGCTGCTGTGTTTAAGGTGAAAGAAATCTGCCCCACAAGCGCTTCGGGAAGGACCCACGTCGGAGGGAAGAAAAAAATCAGAGTTTTAAGAAGTCAGAGCTAAAAAACCCGGTTAAGCTCCCCCCGATTGCAGAGCGGCCAGGCCATGATTGAACCAGCCCTGGCACCTCGCGTGCTGCTCCATGCTGCCGATCCGGGCAGTTTTATGGCAATTAAGGGAAATTTAGGGGTGACAACCCTGTTTTTGGTCCTTGGGGAGGAGGGGAGGTTCTTTTGTGTCCGTGGGGTCCCCATGCCTGCCCACCAGCTTTTGGAAGGGAGGTGGAGAGGGGTGCTGTGGGAGCTGACTGGCAGTGGGGGGGTTAATTAGGGAGGGTGAGGGGGACTGGGTGGG